TACTACTGATATTACTGTTACTACTACTACTGATATTACTGCTACTACTACTACTGATATTACTGCTGCTACTACTACTGATATTACTGCTACTACTGATATTACTGCTACTACTGATATTACTGCTACTACTGATATTACTGCTACTACTACTGATATTACAATCACTGCTACTACTACTGATATTACTGCTACTACTGATATTACTGCTACTACTACTACTGATATTACTGCTACTACTGATACTACTATTACTGCTACTACTACTGATATTACTGCTGCTACTACTACTGATATTACTGCTGCTACTACTACTGATATTACTGCTACTACTACTACTGATATTACTGCTACTACTACTACTGATATTACTGCTGCTACTACTACTGATATTACTGCTGCTACTACTACTGATATTACTGCTGCTACTACTACTGATATTACTGCTGCTACTACTACTGATATTACTGCTACTACTGATATTACTGCTACTACTACTACTGATATTACTGCTACTACTGATACTACTATTACTGCTACTACTACTGATATTACTGCTGCTACTACTACTGATATTACTGCTGCTACTACTACTGATATTACTGCTACTACTACTGATATTACTGCTACTACTACTACTGATATTACTGCTGCTACTACTACTGATATTACTGCTGCTACTACTACTGATATTACTGCTGCTACTACTACTGATATTACTGCTGCTACTACTACTGATATTACTGCTGCTACTACTGATATTACTGCTGCTACTACTACTGATATTACTGCTACTACTACTACTGATATTACTGCTTCTACTACTGATAATACTATTACTGCTACTACTACTGATAATACTATTACTGCTACTACTACTGATAATACTATTACTGCTACTACTACTGATAATACTATTACTGCTACTACTACTGATAATACTATTACTGCTACTACTACTGATACTACTATTACTGCTACTACTACTGATACTACTATTACTGCTACTACTACTAATAATACTATTACTGCTACTACTACTGATAATACTATTACTGCTGGTACTACTGATACTACTATTACTGCTACTACTACTGATACTACTACTACTGCTACTACTACTGATAATACTATTACTGCTACTACTACTGATATTACTGCTGCTACTACTACTGATATTACTGCTACTACTACTGATACTACTATTACTGCTACTACTACTGATATTACTGCTGCTACTACTACTGATATTACTGCTGCTACTACTACTGATATTACTGCTACTACTACTACTGATATTACTGCTACTACTACTGATATTACTGCTACTACTACTACTGATACTACTATTACTGCTACTACTACTGATATTACTGCTGCTACTACTACTGATATTACTGCTACTACTACTGATATTACTGCTGCTACTACTGATATTACTGCTACTACTACTACTGATATTACTGCTACTACTACTACTGATATTACTGCTGCTACTACTACTGATATTACTGCTGCTACTACTACTGATATTACTGCTGCTACTACTACTGATATTACTGCTGCTACTACTGATATTACTGCTGCTACTACTGATATTACTGCTACTACTACTGATATTACTGCTGCTACTACTACTGATATTACTGCTGCTACTACTGATATTACTGCTGCTACTACTGATATTACTGCTACTACTACTACTATTGATATTACTGCTACTACTACTGATATTACTGCTGCTACTACTACTGATATTACTGCTACTACTACTACTGATATTACTGCTACTACTACTGATATTACTGCTGCTACTACTACTGATATTACTGCTGCTACTACTACTGATATTACTGCTGCTATTGCTACTACTGCTACTGATATTACTACTGCTACTACTGCTGATATTACTGCTGCTACTATTACTGCTGCTACTACTACTACTACTGCTGCTACTGCTGCTACTACTGCTACTACTACTGATATTACTGCTGCTACTACTGATATTACTGCTGCTACTACTACTGATATAACTGCTACTACTACTGATATAACTACTACTACTACTGATATTACTGCTACTACTACTACTGATATTACTGCTGCTACTACTGCTACTACTACTACTATTGATATTACTGCTACTACTACTGATATTACTGCTGCTACTACTACTGATATTACTGCTACTACTACTACTGATATTACTGCTGCTACTACTACTGATATTACTGCTGCTACTACTACTGATATTACTGCTGCTACTACTACTGATATTACTGCTGCTATTGCTACTACTGCTACTGATATTACTACTGCTACTACTGCTGATATTACTGCTGCTACTATTACTGCTGCTACTACTACTACTACTGCTGCTACTGCTACTACTACTGCTACTACTACTGATATTACTGCTACTACTACTGCTACTACTACTGATATTACTGCTGCTACTACTGATATTACTGCTGCTACTACTACTGATATAACTGCTACTACTACTGATATAACTACTACTACTACTACTGATATTACTGCTACTACTACTACTGATATTACTGCTACTACTACTACTGATATTACTGCTACTACTACTACTGATATTATTGCTACTACTACTACTGATATTACTGCTGCTACTACTACTGATATTACTGCTACTACTACTACTGATATTACTGCTACTACTACTGATATTACTGCTGCTACTACTACTGATATTACTGCTACTACTACTACTGATATTACTGCTACTACTACTGATATTACTGCTGCTACTACTACTGATATTACTGCTGCTACTACTACTGATATTACTGCTACTACTACTACTGATATTACTGCTACTACTACTGATATTACTGCTGCTACTACTACTGATATTACTACTGCTACTACTACTGATATTACTGCTACTACTACTGATATTACTACTGCTACTACTACTGATATTACTGCTACTACTACTGATATTACTGCTGCTATTACTGATATTACTGCTGCTACTACTACTGATATTACTGCTGCTACTACTACTACTGATATTACTGCTGCTACTACTACTGATATTACTGCTACTACTACTACTGATATTACTGCTACTACTACTGATATTACTGCTGCTACTACTACTGATATTACTGCTACTACTACTACTGATATTACTGCTACTACTACTGATATTACTGCTGCTACTACTACTGATATTACTGCTGCTACTACTACTGATATTACTGCTGCTACTACTACTGATATTACTGCTGCTACTACTACTGATATTACTGCTGCTACTACTACTGATATTACTGCTGCTACTACTACTGATATTACTGCTACTACTACTACTGATATTACTGCTACTACTACTACTGATATTACTGCTACTACTACTACTGATATTACTGCTGCTACTACTACTGATATTACTGCTGCTACTACTACTGATATTACTGCTGCTACTACTACTGATATTACTGCTGCTACTACTACTGATATTACTGCTACTACTACTACTGATATTACTGCTGCTACTACTACTGATATTACTGCTGCTACTACTACTGATATTACTGCTACTACTACTGATATTACTACTGCTACTACTACTGATATTACTGCTACTACTACTGATATTACTGCTGCTATTACTGATATTACTGCTGCTACTACTACTGATATTACTGCTGCTACTACTACTACTGATATTACTGCTGCTACTACTACTGATATTACTGCTGCTACTACTACTGATATTACTGCTACTACTACTACTGATATTACTGCTACTACTACTGATATTACTGCTGCTACTACTACTGATATTACTGCTACTACTACTACTGATATTACTGCTACTACTACTGATATTACTGCTGCTACTACTACTGATATTACTGCTGCTACTACTACTGATATTACTGCTGCTACTACTACTGATATTACTGCTGCTACTACTACTGATATTACTGCTGCTACTACTACTGATATTACTGCTGCTACTACTACTGATATTACTGCTACTACTACTACTGATATTACTGCTACTACTACTACTGATATTACTGCTACTACTACTACTGATATTACTGCTGCTACTACTACTGATATTACTGCTGCTACTACTACTGATATTACTGCTGCTACTACTACTGATATTACTGCTGCTACTACTACTGATATTACTGCTGCTACTACTACTGATATTACTGCTACTACTACTGATATTACAATCACTGCTACTACTACTGATATTACTGCTGCTACTACTACTGATATTACTGCTGCTACTACTACTGATATTACTGCTACTACTACTACTGATATTACTGCTACTACTACTGATACTACTATTACTACTACTGATATTACTGCTGCTACTACTACTGATATTACAATCACTGCTACTACTACTGATATTACTGCTGCTACTACTACTGATATTACTGCTGCTACTACTACTGATATTACTGCTGCTACTACTGATATTACTGCTGCTACTACTACTGATATTACTGCTGCTACTACTACTGATATTACTGCTACTACTACTGATATTACTGCTGCTACTACTACTGATATTACTGCTGCTACTACTACTGATATTACTGCTACTACTACTGATATTACTGCTGCTACTACTACTGATATTACTGCTACTACTACTGATATTACTGCTGCTACTACTACTGATATTACTGCTACTACTACTACTGATATTACTGCTACTACTACTACTGCTACTACTACTACTGATATTACTGCTACTACTACTACTGATATTATTACTGCTACTACTACTGCTACTACTACTGATATTACTGCTACTACTACTGCTACTACTGCTGCTACTGCTGCTACTGCTGCTACTACTACTGATACTACTACTACTGATATTACTACTGCTGCTACTACTACTGATATTACTGCTGCTACTACTACTGATACTACTATTACTACTACTGATATTACTGCTGCTACTGCTGCTACTGCCGCTGTACCTGCAGCTGCGGCAGCTGCAGCTGCTTCTTGAGCACCGAGCTGGTGGCTTGGCCATGCTCCTCCGCCATGGAGTAGAAGAAATCCTTCCACTTGACCAGCACCTCGGAGAACTGCATCTGATGAGAGGGAGAGAGGAAGGGTGGGTGGGTGGGTGAGTGGATGGGTGGGTGAGTGGGTGGATGGGTCAGTGAGTGGGTGGATGGGTCAGTGAGTGGGTGGATGGGTGAGTGGGTGGGTGGGTGAGTGGGTGGGTGAGTGGGTGGGTGAGTGGGTGAGTGGGTGGGTGAGTGGGTGGGTGAGCGGGTGGGTGGGTGGGTGAGTGGGTAGGTGAGTGGGTGGGTGGGTGAGTGGGTGGATGGGTGAGTGGGTGGGTGAGTGGGTGGGTGAGTGGGTGAGTGGGTGGGTGGGTGGGTGAGTGGGTAGGTTAGTGGGTGGGTGGATGGGTGAGTGGGTGGGTGGATGGGTGGGTGAGTGGGTGGGTGGGTGGGTGAGTGGGTGAGTGGGTGAGTGGGTAGGTTAGTGGGTGGGTGGATGGGTGAGTAGGTGGGTGGATGGGTGGGTGAGTGGGTGGGTGGGTGGGTGAGTAAGTGAGTGGGTGGGTGGGTGAGTGGGTGGGTGGGTGGGTGAGTGGGTGGGTGGGTGGGTGTGTGAGTGGGTGAGTGGGTGGGTGAGTGGGTGAGTGGGTGGGTGGGTGAGTGGGTGGGTGGATGGGTGAGTGGGTGGGTGGATGGGTGGGTGAGTGGGTGGGTGGGTGGGTGAGTGGGTGAGTGGGTGGGTGGGTGGGTGAGTGGGTGGGTGAGTGGGTAGGTTAGTGGGTGGGTGGATGGGTGAGTGGGTGGGTGGATGGGTGGGTGAGTGGGTGGGTGGGTGAGTAAGTGAGTGGGTGGATGGGTCAGTGAGTGGGTGGATGGGTGAGTGGGTGGATGGGTGAGTGGGTGGATGGGTGAGTGGGTGGATGGGTGAGTGGGTGGATGGGTGAGTGGGTGGGTAGGTGAGTGGGTGGATGGGTGAGTGGGTGGATGGGTGGGTGGGTGGATGGGTGAGTGGGTGGATGGGTGGGTGAGTGGGTGAGTGGGTGGGTGAGTGAGTGAGTGAGTGGGTGGATGAGTGGGTGGATGAGTGAGTGGGTGGGTGGGTGGGTGAGTGAGTGGGTGGATGGGTCAGTGAGTGGGTGGATGGGTGAGTGGGTGGATGGGTGAGTGGGTGGATGGGTGAGTTGGTGGGTGGGTGAGTGGGTGGGTGGGTGAGTGGGTGAGTGGGTGGGTGGGTGGGTGAGCGGGTGGGTGGGTGAGTGGGTGGGTGAGTGGGTGGATGGGTGAGTGGGTGGGTGAGTGGGTGAGTGGGTGGGTGAGTGGGTAGGTTAGTGGGTGGGTGGATGGGTGAGTGGGTGGGTGGATGGGTGGGTGAGTGGGTGGGTGGGTGGGTGAGTAAGTGAGTGGGTGGATGGGTCAGTGAGTGGGTGGATGGGTGAGTGGGTGGATGGGTGAGTGGGTGGATGGATGGGTGAGTGGGTGGATGGGTGAGTGGGTGGATGGGTGAGTGGGTGGATGGGTGAGTGGGTGGGTAGGTGAGTGGGTGGATGGGTGAGTGGGTGGATGGGTGAGTGGGTGGATGGGTGAGTGGGTGGATGGGTGAGTGGGTGGATGGGTGGGTGAGTGGGTGAGTGGGTGAGTGGGTGGGTGAGTGAGTGAGTGAGTGGGTGGATGAGTGGGTGGATGAGTGAGTGGGTGGGTGGGTGGGTGAGTGGGTGGATGGGTCAGTGAGTGGGTGGATGGGTGAGTGGGTGGATGGGTGAGTGGGTGGGTGGGTGAGTGGGTGGGTGGGTGAGTGGGTGGGTGGGTGAGTGGGTGAGTGGGTGAGCGGGTGGGTGGGTGAGTGGGTAGGTGAGTGGGTGGGTGGGTGAGTGGGTGGGTGAGTGGGTGGATGGGTGAGTGGGTGGGTGAGTGGGTGGGTGAGTGGGTGAGTGGGTGAGTGGGTGGGTGAGTGGGTAGGTTAGTGGGTGGGTGGATGGGTGAGTGGGTGGGTGGATGGGTGGGTGAGTGGGTGGGTGGGTGGGTGAGTAAGTGAGTGGGTGGATGGGTCAGTGAGTGGGTGGATGGGTGAGTGGGTGGATGGGTGAGTGGGTGGATGGGTGAGTGGGTGGATGGGTGAGTGGGTGGATGGGTGAGTGGGTGGGTAGGTGAGTGGGTGGATGGGTGAGTGGGTGGATGGGTGAGTGGGTGGATGGGTGGGTGAGTGGGTGGGTGGGTGGGTGAGTGGGTGGGTGGGTGGGTGAGTGGGTGGGTGAGTGAGTGAGTGGGTGGATGAGTGGGTGGATGAGTGAGTGGGTGGGTGGGTGAGTGAGTGGGTGGATGGGTCAGTGAGTGGGTGGATGGGTGAGTGGGTGGATGGGTGAGTGGGTGGGTGGATGGGTGGATGGGTGAGTGGGTGGGTAGGTGAGTGGGTGGATGGGTGAGTGGGTGGATGGGTGAGTGGATGGGTGAGTGGGTGGATGAGTGAGTGGGTGGGTGGATGGGTGAGTGGGTGGATGAGTGAGTGGGTGGATGAGTGAGTGGGTGGGTGGATGGGTGGGTGGATGGGTGATTGGATGGGTGGGTGAGTGGGTGGGTGAGTGGGTGGGTGGATGAGTGAGTGGGTGGGTGGATGGGTGAGCGGGTGGGTGGATGGGTGAGCGGGTGGGTGGATGGGTGAGTGGGTGGGTGGATGGGTGAGTGGGTGGATGGGTGCGTGGGTGGGTGGGTGAGTGGGGGGATGGGTGAGTGGGTGGATGGGTGAGTGGGTGGATGGATGAGTGGGTGGGTGGATGGGTGAGTGGGTGGATGAGTGAGTGGGTGGGTGGATGAGCGAGTGGGTGGATGGGTGAGCGGGTGGGTGGATGAGTGGGTGGATGGGTGAGTGGGTGGGTGACTGGGTGGGTGGGTGAGTGGATGGATGAGTGAGTGGGTGGGTGGATGGGTGGATGGGTGGATGGGTGGGTGGGTGAGTGGGTGGGTGGATGAGTGGGTGAGTGGGTGGATGGGTCAGTGAGTGGGTGGATGGGTGAGTGGGTGGATGGGTGAGTGGGTGGGTGACTGGGTGGGTGGGTGAGTGGATGGATGAGTGAGTGGGTGGGTGGGTGGATGGGTGGGTGGGTGAGTGGGTGGGTGGATGGGTGAGTGGGTGAGTGGGTGGATGGGTGAGTGGGTGGATGGGTGAGTGGGTGGGTGGATGAGTGAGTGGGTGAGTGAGTGGCTGGATGGGTGAGTAGAGTGTGTAGATGGGTGGGTGAGTGAGTGGCTGGATGAGTGAGTAGAGTGAGTGGGATTAATCCGCCATTTTGAATAAGCAATAGTCACAATATACACATAGCGGGGGGGGGGGGGGTAAAGCGCGTAGCCCCCCTCTTTGATCCCTTCGCTAAAGTCACGCGGGTAGGAAAAAAAAACCAAAATCTGTCGTCGCGTTTCGACCGTAAAGGCCAGCAGCCGCCATGAGGCGGGACAAGCGGGGGTACAGCCCCGCGAGACGATTGCCTAACGCGGGGCCTGACCCCTTGAACAAGGGGCCTGAGGCGCGCGCAGGTTCACGCCGTCTGGAAGTATCCAGCAGCATCCCAACTGCATCGCCGCTGAGCGCGTGCGCGCGTGTGGGGGTGGGGTGAAGTGGGGGTGGGGTGGGGGTGGGGTGGGAGTGGGGTGGGGGTGGGGTGAGGTGGGGGTAGCGTGGGGGTGGGGGTGGGGTGGGGGTGGGGGTGGGGTGGGGGTGGGGGTGGGGTGGGGTGGGGGTGGGGGTGGGGTGGGGGTGGGGGTGGGGTGGGGGTGGGGGTGGGGTGGGGGTGGGGGTGGGGTGGGGGTGGGGGTGGGGTGGGGGTGGGGGTGGGGGGTCTGAACAAAGCCTGAGGCACGCGTGCGTTGAGAGTGCCCTGCTGTGCGACGATGATGACGATGATCACGATGATGACGATGATCATGATGATGACGATGATGATGCTGCTGATGCTTGCCCCAAGGCATGAACAACAACCGCTTGTTCCTAGCTGGCACGTGATGCAAACACAATGCAGCGTAGGAGAACACACGGACTGTGGTTCTTGGGATCTGCGTTTGCAATTCCCAACTTTACTCCTGTCGATTCCAAACGCGTAGTTACAGAGTGCAGACTAAACGTGGGGGGTGGCTTTAAAAGTTGTAAAATCTCCTGTAGACGCCACTGGTTCTTCACATTCTGTAGATACCACTGGTTCTTAACGTTCTGCAGACGTAGATGCCACTGGTTCTTCACGTTCTGTAGATGTAGATGCCACTGGTTCTTCACGTTCTGTAGATGTAGATGTCACTGGTTCTTCACGTTCTGCAGACGTAGATGCCACTGGTTCTTTATGTTCTGTAGATGCCACTGGTTCTTCACGTTCTGTAGATGTAGACGCCACTGGTTCTTCACGTTCTGTAGACGCCACTGGTTCTTCACGTTCAGCAGATGTAGATGTCACTGGTTCTTCGCGTTGTGCAGATGTAGATGCCACTGGTTCTTCACGTTCAGCAGATGTAGATGCCACTGGTTCTTCACGTTCTGTAGATGCCACTGGTTCTTCACGTTCTGTAGATGTAGATGTCACTGGTTCTTCACGTTCTGTAGATGTAGATGCCACTGGTTCTTCGCGTTGTGCAGATGTAGATTCCACTGGTTCTTCACGTTCTGTAGATGCCACTGGTTCTTCACGTTCTGTAGATGTAGATGCCACTGGTTCTTCACGTTCTGTAGATGTAGATGTCACTGGTTCTTCACGTTCTGTAGATGTAGATGTCACTGGTTCTTCACGTTCTGTAGATGTAGATGCCACTGGTTCTTCACGTTCTGTAGATGCCACTGGTTCTTCACGTTCTGTAGATGCCACTGGTTCTTCATGTTCTGTAGATGTAGACGCCACTGGTTCTTCACGTTCTGTAGATGCCACTGGTTCTTCACGTTCTGTAGATGCCACTGGTTCTTCATGTTCTGTAGATGTAGATGCCACTGGTTCTTCACGTTCTGTAGATGCCACTGGTTCTTCACGTTCTGTAGATGCCACTGGTTCTTCATGTTCTGTAGATGTAGATGCCACTGGTTCTTCACATTCTACAGATGTAGATGCCACTGG